GTAGTGCAGGCTGGCCTCAAACTCAAGGCAATCTGCGTTCTCAAACTGAAAGTGTTTACTGAGTACACAGCACAAGGAATAAGCAAAGGTCCGAGCTCAAGGCACATCAGAAATTTTAGAAATCTATGTCTAAGGAAGGGGGAAAACCATACATATTACATCTTAGGAATCAGAAAGGCACTGCACAGGAAAATGATTTTTAAGTCATCTGTGGGTGCTGACATTAGGAATTCTCCTTTTTCCCTTCTTTTTTTCTGTCATATAATCAACATGTATGATTTTATGGTAGAAAAGACAATTTAATATACCAAAATCTATACCTGGAGCCTGAGGCTAGGTTTAGCTGGCTCTGTTTCTTATGTCCCCTCCAGGTAGCAGAGTCACAGCCAGGGAAGATGCTGGATTGCAGAGGGCATGGGGACAAGCCAGCCACCCCACCTGGGACACCCCAGCCCACTGTCCACCCGTGAGCCTGCCCACTCACACTTGCGTGGCCAGCAAGCCAGCACTCTCAACATCCTCCAAGAATAGTTCACTATGTGAAGGAAAAGAGGCAAAGCTCTCAATTATTTTTCCTGAGGCACATCTTTCCATCCATTATGATCATGTCTCCACTGCTGCAGTTGGCATTTATTTTAATAAGGAAATGCTAACTGCTGCCATCTGTCTTCATTCCACTTATCGAACCAGGTCCTCAGCTTTGCCAAGAGATGAGTTTCCTATTGACAGACTCACCTGTGGAGAAGATGAACACCGTGTTGTTCCAGAGCCCGTGACTTCTTAAGGCCGCTGTGACATTTCCTACTGCTTCATCCATGAGGGACACCATTCCTGCATAAAGACGCCGGTTCTTATCGTGGATAAACTCATAGGGCTTCAGGTACTCCTCTGGGACCTGAAGGGGCTCGTGGACAGACTGCAAAGCCAGGTAGAGAAACAGAGGCTGGAAAGAGAGTTAATCCATATCAGTGAAGAGGATAAACTCAACCCAAGAATAAACATGTAGTTCTGTTCAGGTGTTTAAGGTATTTAAATGGAAACAATAAATGTAGGTGGGTGAGATACTCCAAATTCATCAGTTAATAAAAATAACACCAAGACAACCTACAGAATGCACTGAAAATATTTTTGAATCATATATATGATAAAGGATTCTTTCAGAAGATGTAAATAACTCTTACAACTCAATAATCAAAGGCAATCAACCTGACTACAAAGGGGACAGAGAATTTGAATAGATATTTCTCTAAGGAACCACATAAATGGCTATAAACATGAAAGATGGTCAAAAAAATGTTTTGAAAAATGCTTTAAAAACCTGCAATGACATATAACTTCATACCTACTAGAGTGGTTATAATTCTTAAAATGAAAAATAACAGTAATGTTGATGAGGATATGGAGAAACTGGAACCCTCAAACATTCTTAGTAGGAATGTAAAATGAGATATGTAGCCACTGAAAAAATAATGTGGCAGTTCCCCACATCTTTCAATGTAGCTAGGATATGACCCAGAATTTCTATTCCTACAGAAATGAAAGTATATACCCACACAGAACCTTAATGAATATTCAATACAACCTTTTTTTGTAACAGCAGAAAGTTGGGAGTAACCCAAATATCCATCAATTGAATGGATTGTGAAGTATGGAGATTTTCAGCCAGATATGACAATAAAAGAAATGGAGTATTACAATACAAATGGACCTTGAGAACACGCTAAGTGGCCAAGCACGAATGATCACGGGTTTATAAATGAGTTTCTATGCACTCTTCAAGACAGGCAAATCTCAAGAGGCAGAGTAGACTCGAGGTTATTAAGATGGTAGGGAATTGAGAACAGCGGAATAGTGAGCCAACTGGTACAAGGCTTCTTTTGGAGTGCTGACAATGTTTTAAATTTACATTGTGGCAATGGTTGCATGACTCAAATTTACTACTGAACCTTATGCTTTAAATGAGTAAATGTTATGATGTGTAAATTATATCTTGATAAAAATGTTAAAATATAGCAAGAGTCCTAGACTGGCCTAGCGAGCCCTGATCCAAACAAATAATAAAATCCATAATAGCAAGCATATTAAATGTTGTCTAGTAGAGATACTCTGATAACACTTTTTCAAAACAGAGTTGAACTTACTATATTGCCCAGGCTAGCTTCGAATTTAGGGTAATCCTCTTGACTCCACCTCCCGAGTGCGAGGATTATGGCATATACCACCACACCCAGTTCTGATAATAATTTAGATATTCCATCTTATTTAATACTCACCCTATGCTGTGTCCATTTTATTTACTTTTTTTTTTTTTGAATACAGGGCTCAGCCTGGTCTTCAACTCACTATGTAGTGCAGGCTGGCCTCAAACTCATGGCAATCTTCCTACCTCAGCCTTCCAAGAGCTAGATTACAAGCATTTACTACCATACTTTTAAAAAGTTGCATGATTTGCCCAAGTTCACATTAATTGGGGAGTAATTTCCTATTGGAAACCACAGTATTATATATATATCAATAGGCCCCTTAGCTTTTTGCTTTAGATGGAATAAGTCCCCACCCATTTCAGAAGAGATTTAAGGTTTTATGGTATATTTTATGAGGAAAGAAATAAACACCATGTTTTGTTAGTCTCTGATGTAAAACCAAACATAAGACTAATACAATTCTTGGAAACTAAAACTTGGGATCCACTGATTCTCTTTCATCTTTTACACCAGTCTGCACCATTTAACATGGGTGGCTTCCCAGGTTGGCCTTGCCTGCTTCCCAAGGCAATATGAGGCATTCTGTTCATTGTGCTACTATAAAATTCTTCTGTGAGAACAAACCCCCTAAAGAGACAACTGGCTAGGGCTGTCGTCTCTTAGAGAGCTCAGCAGACTAAAGCACCTGTTTAGGCAGAGTGCTGGGACCCAGGGCTAGATCTCTGGCATGTTGTGCCAACCCCGACCTCAGGGCATGCTAAGAGTACGACTAAGACTGGGATACTCACAGTATCCATATATTCAGTTTAAATAAGCATGCAAAAGTTTATGGCATGCATCTGTAATCCCAGCACTTGGGAGGTTGAAAACAGGAGAATCACTATGAGTCTGATCTCCATATTGAGACCCTGTAACAAATACATAAAAAAGAGAGACAACTGGCTTAACCCAAGAATAAATATGATTCTGTTAAAGTATCTGAGGTATTTAAACCTCATGAATGAATGGGTTAGAAACTAGGTATGAGGGGCTCATATTTTGCTCATCATTTTTATTTTTATTTGTATTTCATTTTTGTATTTTTAGGTAAGGGTCTACAGGGTGTTCAGGGTCTCACTACTAGATCAGACTTGTAGTGATCTGCTTGTTTACAGCCGCTCAAGAGCTGGGATCACAGGCTTGCACCACCATGCCCAGTCTCAACTACCCTCTCAGCAAGCTCCAGGGGTGGGGCCGGCATGGCAGGCCTGGGGATTAAACCCCTGGTCCCTGTGCTTGCTTGCAGGTACCTTAATCTGCTGAGCTATTTGGCCAGCCTTTGCTCATCATTTTTATAAGTTGTTTTAGTTGTGTAATATATATTCCTGTGGGAGAGTGAAAGAGTACCCATAAGCCAGGCATGATGGTGCACACCTGTAATTCCAGCACTCCAGGTAGTTAAAGCAGGAGGATCAAGCCAGGGCAACTTAGTGACTTAGTGAGACCCTACTTTGAAATTTAAAAAGACTGCGATGTAGCTCAATGAGTGTGAAGGCCCTGGGTTCAGTCCCCAGGAATACACACACACACACACACACACACACACACACACACACACACAGTATCCATAAACTCAGTTTAAATAAGCATGCAAAAGTTTATTCATAGTGCAGATCTTTGGAATTTAGAAATATACTTTTCTCAAAATCAAATATCAAAAATATCTGTTAAGTACCAAACTCACTTTAAAACATGTATGTGTGTGTGTGTGTGTGTGTGCGCGCGCATCTGGGGACTGAACCCAGGGCCTTGCATAAAAAGTACTCTATCACTGAGCTATATACTCAACCCTTTTATTTTGAGACAGTCTCACCATGTACTCCAGGCTGATCTTCAAGCTGCAACCTTACCACCTCAGCCTCCCAAGTCGCTAGAATTACAAGCATGCACCACATGCTCACCTCTTCATCATGGACAGAACTACCTGCAACCACCAGCCAAAGTCTACCTATGAGCAGGATTAATATTAGCAGAAGACTAAGTGAGATATAGTGCAACACACCTGTAAGCCCAGAACTCTAGGAGGCTGAGGCAGGAGGATGGCAAGTTCAAGCTAGGACCTTAACAAAAAGCTGTCTCAAAGTAAAAACAAGGAAAAGGGCTGGGGAAGTAGTTCAGTGTGAAGGCCCTGGATTCAATACCCCAGGACCCACTCCCATCAGAAGGCTATAAGAATTTGTTCTCTACATAAAGTATAAACACTGGAAATATCACACACAACAAAACACATCTAAAAATTTTGTTTCTTGAAAAATCAGAATCTCTAAAATTGCATGTCTACAACCCATCTGCCAACAAAACCCTAGAGTGTAAGTACCAGGGCCCCACTCCAAGTGCTGTCCAGTTCTCTAGGGTTTCTCCACAGTTCTACTCAAGTTGCTTCATTACTGAGACCATCCTGGCTCTCAAGGAGGGGCCTTTGTTCATCTTTGTTCATCATCAAGGTGGGAGCAGATACTTCCACAGGAAGACAGGTTAACAAGAGAAAAGTGTAACAAATCTATTTAAGGTTTTATGTGACTCAGGAGCCTGTGGGATGAAGACCTAAGACACAAATGAAATCTGCCCACATGCACACCTAGGTGTAATGGGACGGGGACAGCTGCATGGAAACAGATGCAAAGGGTACAACCTGGCAAGGACGGAGGCAGGGGACCTAGCAAGGCATGTCTGTCTAGACTTTTGTTTTTTCTGATGCAGCATTTCTTCCTCTTGGATATAAAGCAGGACCCCTAAGAGAACAGTCCTATAACTTATCATCAGAGAATTTCTTTAAAGCCAGCTCCTTCACAGAAAGGCAGGTAAAAGGGTAATAGTTTTATTAAGTTTAAAAGCTGAAGCTATGGTTTAGATTTACAATGTCCCCACAAAGTCTCCCATGTTCAGAGGTGGGCTTCAGGGGCAGGGGCAGGGTCACAGAGGTACTGTCCTCATCAGCAGATAAACTAGGCCAAAATGACACTGATAGAGAAAACAGGGATGGAAAGGGTGGGCTACCAGGCCATTGGCTACTGCTCATCTGAAGGACAATTTGTCATTTCTTCAAAGAACATTTCTTCTTAAAACTAGCTTTTGCTATCAACTGAGACTCTATGTGCACTCACAGATGTCCTATAGGTAACTAAAAACAGAACAAATCCCAACCTCCATTTTATGTCCTTTGTTATCTTAAACCTTGGGATGGAACCCTTTCTCAGCTCTGCGTTCAGGTTTGTTAATCATTTAGGAAGTTTCTGTTTGCAAGTACTGAAAACAAGGTTAACTATCCCTGAATTGACACACTCTTATCTCCCTTCCAGACTAAGCACACCAGGTAGGAATTTACAGGGACATTCAAGCTCACCCAGTGGTCTCCAGCCACTGTGCTACACTTGTGATCCCCTGAATTCCAGAAAAGGCAGGGGTGTACTGGATGAAACCGCCACAAATACATAATCCTTTCACAGTACTGAACTGAACCTCCAGCCACCAGGACCCCAGAGCTATGAATGGAGACTGAGATAACGATCAGCCAGATCCTAGCCCACCAGCTTAATCCTGAAGAGCAGGCTTCTGGCCTTTGTGAGTGGGCCAGTCTGATCCCCTTCATCAGAGCGTGTCCTTCCACCTGTCTAAGCTAAAGTCTTTTCCTATTTTTTTTTTAATTTTATTTAGTATAGGGTCTACAGGGTCTCACTACACAGATGGGACTAGTAGTGAT